TGCACAGAGATTCTCATGAATCCCAGCTACTCAGGGATTACAGGAGTAAGCCACCCGGTATGTTTGGCTCGATTAAGTATCTCTTAATTTCATCTTTTTTTTTTCTTTCAGTATTTAGAGGCCAGCAAAATTTTCTTTTAACTCTCACACAGTTTCTCGAGTCTTTGAACAGATCATTTGGCTCTAGAGTGCCTTAGTCCAAGATATGGATTTAATAGCTTTCCATGAAGCAGTTTACCTTGCTGTGTTTATTAGAGATGTCCGTGTTTATGAGGACATGAAAGGCCCTGACAAGTCCTGCACCAGAGAGCCCTGTTGCTGGTACTGTTGTTCTCAAGTTTGTCTGGCTTCTTCGTCTCTGCCTGATAACATCTGCGGAGCACCCAGGGAAGTGCCACCCTGGTGTCCTGGTTTCCAGGAAACAGAGGAGGTGAAGGAGAGCTGTGATTCAAGGGAGGGGGGCATAATGAGGAGACCCATCCCCTGCCCAGCCAGCCTGGCATCCGCACCTCACAGGCCACGAGGTCAGGAGGCCGCAGGGCCAGCCAGCCAGCGGTGGTCTGGTGGAGAAATCTGCAGCCGCTGGTTCTAAGCCCCATCTTCCTCCTGCCCCTCCTGCAGGTGGCATGCTTCGAGAGATGGAAGGTTCTGGGCTTCTCCCATAGCACTCAATGCAGTAAACTCAGACTCTTCTGTAGCACTGAATATCTCTGAGAACTTTCTGTTTATGTGCCGGGACTGGGGCCTGAGCTCAAGGTGCTGTGTTCTCTCTTGGCTTTTTTCTACTCAAGGCTACTAGTGCTCTACCACTTGAGTCATGGCTCTACTTTGGCTTTTTGGTAGGGTTTTTTTTTTTGGTCGGTTGTGGGGCTTGAACTCTTGGCCTGGGCACTGTCCCTGTGCTCTTCAGCTCAAGGTGAGCACTCTACCACTTGAGCCACAGCGCCACTTCCAGTTTTCTAGTGGTTTATTGGAGATAAGATTCTCACGGCCTTTCCTGCCCAGGCTGGCTCTGAACTGTGATCCTCAGATCTCAGCCTCCTGAGTAGCTAGGATGACAGGCGTGAGCCGCCGGCGCCTCATATCATTTCTTATTTTTACGTTGTGGGCTCAAAGCATGAACAGCACTGGCGCTGGGGGAATGGAGCAGGAAGGAAGGAGCAGGGTCTCCAGCTTGGGGCCTGGGGCGCCTGGGGGTGGAGCCATAGCCTGAGCCTGGGACCCCGCAGCGCACAGGGTCCCCGGCTGAGCATCCTGCATCATCTACGCGCCTGAGACCAAGGTCATGTGGCCACACAGCTGTGTGGGTAAAATAGGGCTGGTGAGCCCAGGTGGAGGCCCTGGGGCTTTCATTCACTCTCTCTCTCTCTCTCTCTCTCTCTCTCACACACACACACACACACACATGTGCGCTCAGAGTGCACACCTGCCCTGCCCAGTTCAGCCAGAGCTCTGAGCGCCATGAGATGCTTGATCCCCACTGTCCCTTTGAGATCCAGCCAAGACCCTATTCCCCTATTCATCCCGAAGGCACGATCCCAGCTCCCTGCTCTCCTCCCCAGCACCGGGCTATGCCCCACACCCACCTGATCCCAGCCCCACCCAGACTCCAGCTTTCTAGAAACCCTTCTGGAAGTATTTATCTGAGCAGGGCCTGAAGGGGCATGGAAGGTGGCAGGGGAGACAGAAGTCACCTCTCCTGGAATAATTACGGAGGGCTCCCTGGAGGTGGTGTGTCTTCATCTTAAGGACCAGGAGACCCCTCTAGGGCAGAGTGAGAGTTTAACCAGGCGGCCCTGGTGCCAGGCAGGCCCTGGTCTGAGCCTGGGCCCCACCGGTCTCTCCCGATATGACCGCGGATGGAAGTCCCTTGCCTTTGCTGACTCTCAGTTCCCACCGGTGAAATGGGTCACCGAGGTCACACCATGATTTGGCTTTATGGAGCGCTTGGCATTCTGCCAGGAGCTGGGTGAAGCACATCAGCCATCAGCTCCGTAAAACTCACCCGACCAGCCTTGTAGGAGCACTGTTTGGGGGCAGCCGTTGTCCAAACCGATCTGCCCCCCCCATTCTCTCTCTTCTCCCAGTACCTGCTGTACCCCCCCATCAGATACGTCTCCCCGTCAGCCCAGGTGAGGCAAGCCCCATGTCCCCCGCCTCCTCCCACCATGCCCAGGGCTCCGGAGGCCTCTCCAGGCACGCGCGTGTGCAAGCGCCTGTGCTCGGGGCACACGGAGGAGGGCGTTCCTGAGGGGCACCGACAGCAGCCACCCTGCAAACCATACGTCAGTTACACGTCTGCCCTTTCCGACCACACGCAAGCCCGAGCCTTGTGCCAAAAACACTTTTCCCAGACTTGAAAGAAAACCCCAAAGAGGAACCTAAACCTCCCAGCCGTCTGCGCAGCGCAGCCGGGCAGCAGCCCGGACAGGGCTTCGGAGAAAAACCAGACAGCAAAGGGGAAGTGGGGGGCTGGGAGCCGCCTGGCCAGCAGTCGCTGGCCTGCTCATCTGTCTGTCTGTCTGTCTGTCTTTCTGTCTGTCTGTCTATCTATCTATCTATCTATCTACCTATCTACCTATTTTCTATCTATCAATCTATCTTCTATCTATCAATCTATCTTCCATCTATTTATCTATTTATCTATCTTCTATCCATCCACGCATCTTCTATCTATCCATCATCTATCTATCTATCTATCTATCTATCTATCCATCTATCTGTCTATCCATCTATCTATCCATTTATCTATCTGTCCATCCATCTATCTCCATCCATCTTCTATCTATCTATTTATCTGCCTATCATCTACCTATCCATCTACCATCCATCCATCCATCATCCATCCATCCACCATCCATCTATTCATCCACCCACCCACCCATCCATCCGCCATCCACCATCCACCATTCACCACTCATCTATCTATCCATCCAACATCCAGCTACCACCCATTAACCTACAATCCATGTACCCATCTACCATCTTTCCATCCACCCACCCATCCATCCACCTAGCTATCCATTCATCCCTGTGTTCTCCTTTCCCCTGCCAAGGTCACCTTGCACTGGCCTCTGCCACCAGGTGTGCACAGGAGAGGATCCGCCCTGCACCCCCCGCCCCCCCCCCCGCCCCGTCCCCTCCCCGGGCCTGGGGAGAGGGCCAGGCCCAGGGCAGACTCTGAGGAGTGATTGTAAAACTGAGCTAGAGAGGAGAGCTCGCTCGCTGTGGCTCGCTGTGGCTCGCTGTGGCTCGCTGGCCATCTTTTGCGCCCAGCCCGGAAGGGACGTCTGCCTTGGTTTTCTGGCTTTACGCGGGAGCTGGCGCGCGCACACCTCCCCTCACCGCTGCAAACGCACCCAGAAGCCTCGGGTGCGCACTGTCAGTCTCACCATTCTACAGATGGGAAACTGAGTCTGGAGAGGCGGGGTGAGCACCCCCACGTCACGAGGAAGCGGGGGTGCAGTCTCCGCTCCCAGACGCCTTTCTGGGGTGCCCTCCACCTCCACCCCGTCCATCTCGGAGCCCGCAGCTCAGTCTGTCCAGCTCCGAGACCCGGCAAGCAGCTGCACTGGGCTCAGGAGGGGACACGCCCCCTCTTTCCCGCTTTGCACCCCCTCTTTGAGGCCTACACCGAGGGGCCCTGTCTACGCAAGAGGAGGGGGCGGTTCGCAGGGGTCCTTTAGCGTGCGGGGGAGGGGGGCGGGTCCTGGGCCCGGGGGACCCCTCCCTCTTCCCTTCCTTCTTCCCTCCTCCACCCTTCTCTACCTTCTCCTTCCCTCTTCCTTCTTCCCTCCCTCCTGCCTCCCTTCCCACTGTGGCATGGGGGGGCCGAGGACAGGGTCCCCCAAGTGGCTCCCTGGAGACACTGGTGGGGCGCAATGGAGCTCAGCCTGGACGGCCCGGGACCCCACGCCCACGTGTGTCTCCCCGCCCCTCAGGAGAGGCCAGCCTTTCCTCCTAGTGGCTTTCTTCCCGCCTCACAGAACTTTCTGGAAGGTCAGGCTCCGGGCTGTCCTTCCCGGCCCCTCCCCCGAGGTGAGGGAGCCGGGCTCGGCTTTGATGTGGCCATCTCCGGCCGGGTGTCAATGGGGTCTCTATATGTCCAGCGGGGCCCTGGACACACAGCCCGGGTGTCGGGGCCTCTGTGGGCAGCGGGGGCTCCCAGAAATGCCCTCCCAGCCTGGGGTGCTGTGGGCAGGCAGGGTGGTCCGGGAGACGGGCGTGTGCACGGTGCCCTCAGAAGCCGCCATCAAAGCGGCCAGGCCGCCGTGGCACCAGGAGCGGGGCAGCCAC